CATATGTATCTTCGGGATCCAAATGTGTCAGACATGCTTTCGAAAAGAAATCAGCAAAATCCGTCCATAAATAAAGGAAATATGAGAAAAGTATCAGTCCCTCGTTTCTGTAACTCTCGCATCGAGAAATTTCTCGCATGAAACAGTGAAATTGAAGAAAAAACAATGTGAATTGAAACAAAATATCATTTCTCACATGCAAGTGTTTCTGTAATTTCTTTTTGTGCGAACTATCTGACATTTAGGTTTTTTGACGTAAGTTATTGTAAATTTGTAATTAAAAGTGTTTCTGTAAGAAAATTTTGTGAGAACTTTCTGAATGAACTGTCAAAAAAACTCAAGTTTTAAAACGGTGCGGAAAGTAAAATTTTAAGAAAAAAGTTTTATCTAAATATGAATTCTATAAAATAATGAAAAAGTAATGATGCTTTTATAATTAATTAAGATTAAAATTAATATTATTTACTAATTTTTAGAAAATAGGAGGAATTTCCGATATACAGAAGCAAAAGCTGAAAATAGAATACATAGAATTTCCAAGGAGAGAATTAATTGGGAAAATTTTTTGAACACATTTCATTTAATTTATATATTTTTTGTTTATTTAATCTTCGTTTATAAAATTGTTTGGCAATTTTTATTTTCTTCTTTTTATTTTTATGTTTTTGACAGCTGTTTTATTGGAAATTTCGAATAAAAACGTAATTCGTGTTGCCTATTCTCACTTTAAGTTAGTGGCGGTTCACACAGGGAAACTTTTTATTTTGTGTGTGGGAGAAAGAGATGGATATTTCTCCTTTTCTCACACAAAAATATAAAGTTTTCCAAAAAAAGTTTCCCTGTGTGAACCGGCAATTACAGAAACACTTTTTACTCACAAACCGAGAAACGATAAAATTTTTTGTTTCAGACTTCTCGATGTGAGAACTTCTCACTAAAAGTTACAGAAACAGGGTACAGACAACAAATTTAACTAACACTATTAAAAGTGGTGATACCTACTTTATTTTTTTATTTTGTATGACGAAATGTTTGAAATGTCTGCCTTGAACATTAAACACGGATTCTAAATGGATTATTACTATTATTAGATCCATTATCACAAATTGACAATAACTTAAGATAGGAATTTATAATGTCGATTTGTTTCTCGTTATTATGTGTATACGAAAAGATAAGTTGGCGGCAAGATCTGCTTATGCTTTATCGATATCCTTGAACTACACAGCAAAAAAAAAGGCGTGCAAAAAAGTAGTAAATGCATGGTTCATATTTAGGTGAAACATTCATGATTTTAACATTAGCGTGTCATTGGCTAGCATGGGTTCGTATTTGGAAAATAGTTCGTCATTAATATGAGTGCTTATAACCAATGATTTTCATTTAAAGTGCATTATTTTTTTTAAGTGCATTATTGAAGGTACTATGAATTAATTTTTAATATTTAAATTAATTTTTTAGCGTGATAGTGATAAAAGTTCTATATGATAACAAAATAAAACATTAATAACTGATTTTGAATTGCATTCAGAGTAAAAATAACCATTATATTTTAAAATCCGTTAATCAGTCAGTCAATTTCGTTTTTCACTTCTCGTATTAATGTTAAAATGGAGTTAGTAATATTAACAATATTATTTCAACAAAAATCTAATAAAAATATTAATGTTATTTTTAATATTTATTGTATAAAATGCACGTTTTCGTTAAATTCTAATAGAATACCAAATTATAGTAAAATATTACAATTCCTATAGTGGAGTTACATGAGTGAATTGGGTACTGTCATTAATATTCGATTCTTACGTTTGCGTTTTTTCTGTTCTTAATTTTTAAATAAAAATTAAGGTATTTAAAAACAAGTAAGAGTGCTATATTCGGCTTTGCCGAATCTTATATACCCTTTACCATAGTGTATTTAATAAATTTCAATTTCATAAAATTTAAATGTATTTCATTTTCCCGACTATCACCCAATTTACACGATGATTTTTTTTCATGTTTGCCCAGACGTCTGTTTTCATGTTTGTCGATGATTGGTGGTGAGCGGGGTAGAGAAGAATGGGGGGTAAGAAAACAAACATGATTTGGGTTTTTCATGATTGTTTTTGACATTCCTCTTTAAACTCATTCGTACTGTTGATATTATGCTCATGTAAAAAAATAATTATGTCTTTTTTTACATGAAAACATTAAAATTTGCATTAAAAAAATACTATAGCGTGTAATTAAATTTTTTTAAATCAAATTAAATGGTTTTTATGTTAAAAATTTCATTTTATTTTTATTACGAATAAGTAATTAAAAAAGATTATACAATTAAACATCAAAAAAGGACATGCATAGTTGCATGTAAAAAATCACCGTATAAATGTTCATGATTTTTTGGAAGATTCTCAAAAGAGAATTGGAAAAAACAGACGTCTGAAAAGTCTTCATGTAAATTGCGCCTATATCATTATTATAGCAATAGCAAAACAAAATGAACAACAACAATGCTAAAGGAAATAACCACACAAAAAACAAATACACAAGGCAGTAAAACCTACAGCATCCAAACATAAGAAACGAAGTACATAAAAAAACAAAAACAAAATACACAATGCAATGAAACCAACAGACATCCAAAGTTTGGATTCCAAAAATACGAAACTGAATACGCCAAGAAACAAAAACAATATACACAAGGCAATGAAACCAACAGACATCCAAACATACAAAACGAAATATTAAAAAACAAACAAAAACAAAATACACAACGCAATGAAACCAACTGACATCCAAACATACGAAACTGAATGCACCAAGAAACAAAAACAGTATACAGAAGGCAATGAAACACACAGCCATCCAAACATACAAAACGAAATACTCAAAAAAAAAAACAAAATACACAGCGCAACGAAACTAACAGACATCCAAATATTCGAAACTGAATACACCAAGAAACAAAAACAAAATACACAAGGCAATGAAACACACAGCCATCCAAACATATGAAACGAAATACTCAATGAATAAGCAGTGTTCTTGTTGTTATATGTATATGAAAGCATGGAAAAATTTGTCTTTTTTATGAAATTTGTCTTTTTTATGAGGTTGTCTCGGATTTTTGCTCATATCTCCGGTATTTATGGACCGATTTTGCTGATTTTAAATAGCGATCTTCTCGAAAGCATGTCTAACAGAATTATTGAAGATTCGGATCTCGCCGATATCTGGGGTCCTCTAAAAACTGATTTCAACAAACACACAGAAGGACAGACAGACGGACACATCTTAATCAACTCCGCTACCTATAAGGATCCAGAATATATATACTTTATGGGGTCGGAAAATTATATTATAGAAATTACAAACGGAGTGACAAACTTATACATATGTATATACCCTTCTCACGAAGGTGAAGGGTATAAAAATATTTTGTACTTATTGTTGTACATATTTAGAGCTCTTTATACATACAATATGATAATATGAATACTGTCGGTGATATTGTACAAAGGTATAAAAATGAAGGAGACATTCATTTAAAGAAAAACGAGAAATGCCGGAAAAGTTGACAGATATAGAGCGTCTAAAACTGAGAAAAAGCAAGACAAATCCTCGCTAAGTGCATCTAAAATTGTTTCTGAAGTGAAAGAGTAATTAATAAAGACTGTTTCAGAAACAACAATTCATCGAAAAATTTAAAGCAAAGCCGATTTTATTTAAATAAAAGCCGATAGTAAATAATAAGGATGGAACGTGCCGACTAAAATATGTGAATGAACATCTCAAAAAAGATATAATTTTGTGTGATGACGTTATATTTCTTTAATAAGAGCGTATTTAATATATTTAAAGTGTCGGAAGAACAATGGTGTGGCGAAAACCAAATAAAGAGCTGAATGGAAAAAACGTTACTCCCATAGTAAAACACAGAGTAGGACATGTGATGGTTTGGGGCTCTATATTATCAAATGGAGTCGGAAACCTAGCTTTTATCGACATTAACATGAACAAAGATTTGTATTTAGCTATTTTGAGGGATAATTAAAAGCAATCAACAGAAAAAAAGGAAATTGAATGTATATTTAAATTATACCAAGTTAATGGCCCTAAAAATCAAAGGCATGTTGTCCTAGAATGGTTTTAGTTAGTTAGTTAGTTAGTTTGAAAAGAGGGATGTATACACATACATCAAATCCGAAGAAATACACCTAGGCCTCTATCGGGCCTGTTGTGCACCCCTTAACCAGTGCCTCAGGTGGCAATCCAACCCACCACCTCCGGTCTACCAGACTAGAGCACTAACCACTAACTTACCGGAGGCCATTGGTTGTAAGCGCTCATTTTAATGTTAAACAATTTTTACAAATATTAACCCATGCTCGCCAATGACACGCTAATGTTCAAATCATGCATGTTTTACCTAAATATGAACCAGTTCATTATCAGTTAAACCCATACATTTACTTTTTGCACGTCTTTTTTTTTTTTTTTTTGCTATGTTATTAAGTATGATTTTAAAATGGACTTGATATTACTAATTTTAACAAATATTAAATACAAAAACCTAATAAAATTAATGTTATGTTTAATATTTATTTATTTAAAATTCACGTTTCCTTTATATCCTAAGAGAATACCAAATTACAATGAAATATTACAATTCCTATATTAGAGTCAGATGAGTGAATTGGATGCAATTTTTCATGCGTTCACTTATGACAAATTTATTAGAACATTGGAATGTTTTTAAAACGCATCAAATTGAATACGTACTAAAGAAATCGTGAAAGTATCCCTTTTTCTTCAACAGCTTCAAAATTTATTTTGCTGGCTAAAGTATGATTATAAAAAATAGAAACGAATTATCTGCATTATAAAATCCTACCTTTAGTTATTGCAAAGTTGTAATAATGGGACTTAGTATATTTAAATAATATTTTGCACCTAAACTAAATTGATACTAAAGCCGATATTCATTAATGATTAATTTTGAAAATAAATATAACATACCGTTACAGCACTAAATAATGTCCTGTTATAAATACGTTCAAATTCATCCTTTATTGAACCTAAATCAATTTCCGATCGCGAAACTATAACACGTATTAGAGTAGTGTCGTCTGTACCAGCACCATCCATAGCTTTATAAAGTCGATTTGCAAAAAATGCAGCTGGCGATTGAACGCACTCAACTGAAATTTATAAGCATTATTGATATTAATCGAAATTATAAAAGTAGTTAATAATACCTAAAGCCATCATTGCATCGTGCAATTCGCCATCCATTTCATGCTTTATAGCTTGTTCAACAGTTTGTCCACTTAATTGTTTGTATTCTTCGAAAACGAGACGCAACTGATCAAAACTAGCATGAGCCATAATGCGGTTAAAAACTTCTTCATCAGTTCCTAATTTCGCCTCGCCTGCAGCATATAATTCCGCAGCTTGTTCTTTGGCTTTTTCGGCATCAACGGTACCCTTTGCATCCCTTACACCGGTTACTATTAATGTCAAAAGGCGTCTAAAATGTCCTGAAGTTTCACTACACATTTGCTCGGCAAGGGGTCGATCGTACTTCGCTTCGTACGCACTCACTATTTCCTGCATTTCTTCGTTTGTTTTAGTACACAATATTTCTAAAAGAGTTTCCTCATCCGTACCCATACCAGCCATTGCATTGTGTAAATGCTTACACAAAAATTCAACAGGCGGCGTCATTAATGCTAAAATTACATCTTCAAAATTACCACCCAGTTCACTTTTTAAATCTTCAATCAAATCTCTATCAAATTCTGCTTCAAAGTGAGCCTTTATTTCCTGACGTTGAGCATTCGAACGTGAAGTTAAAATGTCAATAATTACTTGTTCATCAGTTCCCATCCCTTTCATGGCTGCACGCAATGACTGACTATCTGCTGCCGGGTCAAAGGGTTTGGCCGGTACGACAGTGGGAACGGGCTATTTAAAAAAACAAGTTGTAACGATGACTCATTTGTAAAAAAATTAAGAATAATTTAACATGCGCATTAGAGATGCCCCTGTATTTATATAATTTATTTTGGATGTAGACCAATGCAAATAAATTTTTAAGGGCTCTGCTAATGAATACACACAGATATACATATAAGCAATTAATGTACATGATATGTATAATCAATTAATACGTACTAAGTATTTTAATTGGAATGTTATGAACAAATATACAATTTACTTACTGCATAATCCATATTTGGTATCGAAGTAAATATATTAATTACAGTTTATTTTATTTAAGAGTTTCTCTTAATTCTACTTTCCCTTTTAACACAACTTATGTAGTTAGTTACTATAGCTTTTTTCAGCGCGTAATTTAGCGACTGATGTTTAATCAACGAATTTGTGTTGTATACTAAACCAAACCAAGTGTTTTTTAGTATTATGTATATGCAAGAATACAGTGTGAGATTCGTACATTAGAAAGAGTCTCTCTCGAAATGTTGAGCCAACAATTCCAATAAAAAGCACAAAAATAAAAAAGTAATTATTAATGATGTCATTAAAATTTTAAAAATTCTACTTTGCATTCAACATATGTAAGTGTAAAGACTTGTAAATATGTATATATACCCTACAGCACTGTAGTGGGGAGGATATTATGCGTTTATGCTAATGTTTGTAACGCACAAATACATAATATGTAAATATATTGATCCTATCGACCACGACCAACTTTCTTACCTGTTTATATTAGGTCTTACTTAGACTTACTTTTAACTATGCCAAATCTGTTAGCGTGAAAGTTTTCCAAGGAGGTATGTCAAAGTTATCGCGGTTTTTTAAATGTTTTATTTAATTGCCAAAAATAGATTTCTAAATATTATTAAACAAATGTTTAAGAAATCGATATTACTTACGGCTATAAATCTATGAAAGACTCCTCTAAAAGGACACTCTAAATATTATGTAGGTAAATTGAACTGAAAAATAATTTAAAACAAATAAAATTTAATTTTAACAAGTTAGAGTGCTATATTCGGCTATGCCGAATCTTAAATACCCTCCACCAGCAAGCTACTTTTTATTAAAACACATTTAACTATCTAATCTTTAGATAACTTAGCAACATTTTTGTTTCTGTATTGAGGGTACTAACATTTATGCATATGTCAAACTAATTTTAATTAGGTCGAGAAAATTGTATATTAATAGGCCAGTTTGAAAACATTTTAAAATAATGATTTATCTGTACACAGAACATACTCATTTTGAATTTTATCCGGATATAATCATTTAATTACGAATTAAGTGATTTTCAGAAGTATACCTTATATGGGAGCTAAGACAACCTATGGACCGATCCGGAAAAAATTCCGTTGAATGATTTATATATACAAAATACATATTTATGTCGAAGCTATGACCTTACGCAAAACATATTTGTGTCGAATTTCATCAAGATAGCTTTATTTGATAATAAGATATTGCGTTTAAGTGATTTTTTTGAAGGAGCTATTACCATATATGGACCAATCCGGAAAAAATTTGGTAGAATGATTTATATGCTCACAAAACATATTCAAGTCGCACTTTATCCCGATAGCTTTATTATTCAAAGAAATATATGCGTTTAACTGATTTTCCTAATTGGACCCTCTATGGGAGCCTATCCGGAAAAAATTTCGTAGAGTGATTCATATAAAGACAAAACATATTTGTGTCGAATTTTACCGAGATAACTTTATTTGGCAATTAAATATGTGCGTTTAAGTGATTTTCGGAAGTGGGACTTATATGGGAGCTATAACCAATAATTGACCTATCCGGAAAAAAAGTGGTAGAATGATTTATATGTGCACAAAATATATTCAAGTCGAATTTTATCCTTATAGTTTTAGAATTTAAGTTTAAGTGATTTTCGGAAGTGGACTTTATAAGGGAGCTATGACCAATTATGGGCCTAACCGGAAAAAATTTCGTAGAGTGACTCATATAAAGACAAAACGTATTTGTGTCCAATTTTATCAAGATAGCTTTATTTGACAATGAAATATGTGCTTTTAAGTGATTTTCGGAAATGGGCCTTATATGGGAGCTATGTATGTATGTATAGCCAATAATGAACCAATCCGTAAAAAATTTGGTACAATGATTTGTATGTACGCAAAACACATTTCACTCGAATTATATCAGAATAGCTTTATTCATCAATGAAATATGTGCGTTTAGGTTATTTTCGGAAGTGGACCTTATATGGGAGCTATGACCAACTGTGGACCGACTGAGATCTACGTTGATAGTATGTTTGCTGTTCATATTTTATTTGCATGTACAAAATTTTGTGTTGATACCGTTATATTTGAGGGAGTTATCAACGATAAACTAATTTCCGGGAATCTATACCTTTGTATGGGGGCTATGGGAACTATTGGATCGATTGTAAAGATTTTGAACATAATTGATCACTGCCCTGATCAATTCAATGACAAAATTCATCGAAATATCTTTGGTAGTTTCTGAGAAAACTTCAAAAGAATTATGAAAAAAACGTAATTTTTTCGAAGTAGTCTGAAATTTTTACTCATAACTTTTTACGTTGTGAACCGATTTTGCTGATTTTCAATACCAAACTGCTTAGAATAATAATAAATATTTTGGTTGAATTTGGTTGATTTCCTTAACTTAATTTTAACGTGAGCGTGTTTTACACAGACAGACGGACGGGCATAGCTAAATCGACTCAGATTTTCATAAGGACCCAGAATATATATACTTTGTTGGGTCTTAGATTAATATTTCTTGGTGTTACACACGGAACGACAAACTTATATGTACCCTCTATCACCACTGATGGTGGTGGAGGGTATAAAAACGGACTACAAACATTTCACATAAACCAAAGGAGTTTTTCAAATATTTTGAATGTTGTTTTTATAACTAACAAAATATGTACAGTGTCTCTCATAAGTATTCGAATTTAGGTATAATATGAAAGGAAACCAAATTTAATAATATATTATGCGTGCAAAATTAATAAATTAATTTGTTATATTGTCTAGACAGTCCTTAGCTTTGATATCACGCTTTTTATACCCTTCACCTTCGTGAGAAGGGTATATATAAGTTTGTCATTCCGTTTGTAATTTCCAAAATATAATTTTCCGACCCCATAAAGTATATATATTCTGAATCCTTATAGATAGCGGAGTCGATTAAGCCATGTCCATCTGTCTGTCTGTCTGTCTATTGAAATCAGTTTTCTGAAGACCCCAGATATCTTCAGGATCCAAATCTTCAATAATTCAATCAGACATGCTTTCGAGAAAATCCGTTCATAAACAACGGAGATATAAGCAAAAATCCGTGACAACCTCTGAAAATTTCATAAAAAATAAACAACAACAACACTGCTTATTCATTGCCTTTGTATTTTGTTTTTTTTTTTTTTGAGTATTTCCCCAGCGGGAAAAAGAGGCAGTAAAGAGGCCTTACTAAAGGCATTATTTTGCAGACACAAGCACACCCCACTGCATTGCAAAATCATTTCAATTTTACACGGCGTGTCATTGTCAGCCAAGTGCTTGCCTTCTCGCTTCTATTAAAGGGCTGATAGGAGGCTTACATAAAAAGGCCTATTAAACGGTCTTCCGTTGTAGGCCTATTAGAAGATCTTCCTCTGAACGCTTATAAGAAGACCTATAATGTAATGTGTATAAGATGGTCTTCCGTTAAAGTCATATTAGAAGATCTTCAGTCAAAGGCTTTGTAAAAAGTCTGTATAGGAAATTATTATAAAAGTTTTAGGGATATATTCATAGGAGTTTATCAAAGTTTTATAAAACAAATTTTCATAAAAAAATTGATAAATTCTTATCCTAAGACTTTTAATTTAATTACCTAAGCAGACATTCTACAAAGCATGCGTAAGCATGGGTTATTAGGGAAGACATTATTAATAAATTCGACATTAAACATAAGAAATTGGCACATGCGTATTTTTAATTATAAAAGCCTACTTTACGAGAACTTTACAACATAAAGTTTTGCAAAAGACTAAATTTTATTTGGAATGTAAAAAAATACATTCTTCTGTTTTCAGGTAGCGGTTTATAAAAAAGAGGGCAAAATAAATTTTATAGAGTCGATTTTAGAGAGCCAATATATAAAAATAATTGCAATCCCAATCATGTTTGAATTTTAATAATTGTTTGTTTGGCATTGTTTTACAATGCAACTTGTAATGTGCATGAATCCTACAAGAAGGGGAAGCTATGTGCTTGTGGAATATCTTCCGCGAGAAGGCAATGAGGAATGAGTATCGCATCTTTTAGATATATTCATCTATAGTGGATAGACGTGTTTTAAATCGCTCTCACAGGAAAATAACATTGTGAATATAAATTCTTAATAAAAATATAAAAAAAGATAAGTAACAGCGAATGGACGCTAATTAAATACATACTTATTTATTTTTAATATTAAAAATACATTTAAATTAAATAAATTGTCGTTTTTGTTAATGCAATTATTAACAAAACAATTTATAAAAAAGCAAAAAGTATACAAAAAGAAAAAATAACAACAAAACCTTAAATAGAGTGTAGTGTGTGTTATTGTGCATGAGTTTCTCTAACTCTCCAACAAGTGAAAGGAGGCTCAGTAGCAATGGAAAAAATGCATACTTTGTTATGAGCTCTCCATGCAACAACAACAATAATTATGATCCAAAAAATCATAAAAACTATTTAAGTGTAAGAACAACAACAAACGAGAGATCTCCTCTCTCAAGTGCGCCAAAACAGAACAATTGTGTAGATAATAGCGCAAAAGAAAAAATAAATAAACAAACAACAGATTCAAAAACAACAACAAACGAGAGATCTCCTCTCTCAAGTGCGCCAAAACAAGACAATTGTGTGGAAGACAAAGCAAAAGAAAAAATAGATAATCAAACAACTGATTCAATGGTTGATGTAAATAGTAATGCTAATGTGAACAATATCACAAATAGTACCAATAACAATATTAACACTGTGAAAACCATTAATGATAAGGAGGGTCACTCAAGCCCAATGTCAAAGAATACTGGTGCCATACCAAAAGATACTCCAAATTTATTGAGCTCGCATAAAACGCAAAAGATCCAAACGGGAATGGACCGTTATGTCACTTATGCAAAACGTAAGTCCAGCCCTAGGACTTCAAAATTGGAACCAAATCCAAAACAAGCGAAAACAAATTCCGTAAGTCAAAATCGTTTTGCACTGCTTGATAACCAAGAAAGTGAAAAAGTACCATCCATGACTTTAAAAGACCAAAAGCCACCTCCCCTCTATTTGCGCGAACCTACCACCAGTCTATTGGTAAATAAGTTGTCCCAACTTGTAGGCAAAGAAAATTTCCATGTAGTCTCTCTACGGAAAGGAAATATTCAGGAAACAAAAATACAGACTTATTCAGAAAAGTCTTTTAGAACAATAGTTGATAGTTTTGATTCTGAGAAAAGAAATTATTA